CATATGCAAACCCAAGTTTCATGAATCACCAACCCAACATCACAATCTTTCCTTAAAGACAATTCACCAAACACTTGGTGTGCAAGGTTTTAGTAAAGAAAATACATGGTTCTTATGGCTTTGCACGTTTTACACCTAAAACTCAAAGTCACATGACAAGGAGCAAGAGTAAATCTAAGATACCAATTATCCATTCTAAGACAAGATAAATTAGTTCATTTGAGAGAACTATAAATTAACACATCTTGTTAACATCAACTGCTACCATTGGTTCATCACAAGCCATTATAGAACTTAGCATAGTGAATGAATGCATTCCATAGTAAAAGTATACACCATAAAACTTGCATCGCTGCATTAATATGGTTCTCTACCAACTAAATCAGTCACAAGATCTTAGATGGGAATGAGGTACAAATAAAGCTAAGGAAGAGGAAGAAGGAGATTAAGAAGAAGAAAAACAAGATGAAGAAAAAAAGAAGGAAGAAGAGGGTAGTAGGAGAAGAGACTTACATTGTAAAAGGGATGAAGCTCAATTCGGTCCAGGCGTCGAGACGATTCGTCGAAGGGGATCGACTCTACCTGGAGTCGGACGGGCTTCGGTCTTGCACGGGTTCGGTCTCTGGAGCGGGAGCAAGGGGAAGAAGGGAGTTCGGCTCTGGATTGTGCGAAGCCGAGAGAGAAACGAGAGAGGGGGAGGGGGGCCGGTTCCGCCTGGGTGTCCGAACAGAACCAGACCGAGAGAGGGGGGTCGATCGGATGCTCCTGGGCTGCTGCGAACTGAGAGAGAAGAGGAAGGAGTTCGGCGTCCTCTTGGTCCGATCCGAACGGGAGAAGGACGGAGATGGGAGAGCTGGGAGTGAGGGAGGAGGAAGTGGTCGGGATTCGCCTAGGGCTTCTTTTTGGACGAGAGCTCGAGAGGGAGCGCCATCCCGAGAGAGAGGAAAGGCCAGGGTACTCAAAGCGACTGAATCCTGCGGCAACGGTCGATTTTTGGATTTTGAGGAAATCAGAGCCGTTCGATGCAACTACTAGATTTAGGAAATGATTCAAATGAAGTCAAAAGTAGATTGGAATCTATTCGGATCAAAATGAGCTTGTTAGACTCAGATTCGGGCTAAGACCGGGCTCAATTCCAGGTCAAAATCTAGGTCAATTTGGGCTCGAGACGGTTCGACCTAGTCATGCCGACAAGATTGCACCCGAATCGACATCAATTTGAATCAAATTAAACTCGATGCAATTAAATAAATTAAATTGAGTGCAATCGAGTCTAATTGAAATCCATTTGGATCGATTCGAGTTCGAATTGGGCTCGACGAGGTTTGATCGAATTGATCGAAGGTGCTCGAGAGTGCTTGAGTGAAAAACGAGGTCAACAGGGGCTAGCAAGAAGATGATTTGGTTGCAAAGTTTCTTTATAGAACTTGGCAAGAGACAAAGGAATGAGAAGATGCATAGTGATAGCATGAGTGCTATTTAACTTGCCAAGAATGCGACATTCCATGCTAGGACGAAGCACATCTAGCTTCGGCATCATTCCATTAGGTCGCTTTTAAAAGATGGTCAATTATCTTTAGAGAAGATACACATGACCAAGAATCTTGCAGGCATGCTGACGAAGACAGTGACAGTTGATAAACTGAAGCTATATGTATCTTCAGTTGGTCTTCATGGAGGATGAGAGCAGGGGTGAGCCATACTACATATACTATGATTGGCATTACATATCAGGAGAATGATTGTTTGCAATTAGTTTTCAAGCGGGAGATTGTTAGTTCTGTGTTAAATTTGATCAATCAGATTGTATGTTGCCTTGAAATTCAAGTTAATTTCTCGTGCTTGCTAGGAGGATGTAAGGGGTTCTTCCTCAAAAAAAAAAAACACAACGGCCCGACACTGTGTACCTTAGCGCCCCGGTGTTGCAATTTTGTTGGAAGAAATGACAGGGAGTATAGTGCCGCAGTACTCTAGAGTCAGCGCTATAGTGCTCTAGAGTCGGCACCGCAGTGTTCTAGAGTCGGCACCGCAGTACTCTAGATACGGTGTCACAATACTGTATAGTGTTGCAACGCTACAGCTTTGAGCGCCGCAGCATCGTTTGATGGATTGAGATTAAATGTTTGAGTGTCGCAACCCTATGAGGCGGATTGTACAATTTTCTCTCGTTTTTCTTAAGGGTGGCATCTCTTGGTGTTACTTACTTGACTTTCTCTTTTGTTTAGAGTGTGAGAACAATGCAAGAAAAGGAGAGAAGCAATGAGACGGTGAGAGAGAAAAGAAATATGTACTTATTTCTCCCAATTTTCATAGTGATTTCTTTGTGTGGTGTGGCTTCTTGGTTTTTTGCTGATTTTGGGTTTTTCTACGTTAAATCCTGGTGTTCTTTTATTTTCGCTGCTTTTATATTTTTTTTGTTTGTTTCATTGCGGTGTTTTACTTTTATCCCAAACATTAAGTTAAGTAGTAGTCAAGAAGAACTTGCTATTGAAAAAGACTTGCTCGATCAAACTCGACTTGATAATAACATTATATGTATATATATACTGACTATATGTACATGGCAAATATTTTAGTTCCAGAGTTTCGTGTTGCTCTAGTTTGTTCCCTCAACTATATAAAATTGATTCAAAATGATCTCTTCGAGGCTAAATTTGAATTAATTTTATAAAGTCAAGGAACTAAATTAGGATCAATTTTATATCATAATTATAATTTGAGGGATCATTTTGAATCAATTTTTTATAGTCATAGGACTAAATTAAAGCAATGAGATGCTCTAGGATTTAATTGGACACACATGAATAATCTTGGGATTTTTTTGGGATATATATATATATGTGTGTGTGTGTGTGTGTGTTGAAATATTTACAGTAGTATAATATGTGCTTTATATCTTAGCATTGAATAAAAATCTAGCACACAATAATTAAATTTGTGAGATATTTCAATTTTTTTATGTGGAAAACTTAAGAATGGAAAAAACTATGAGGCCTAGCTCAATTTCACTAATCCAAAATATAATAGAAAATACAAGAATTATATTTTCCTCATAATTGAAGAAGATGAGGTTTTACATAGTTGAGAATAATTGTTGGATTTCTATTGTAGGGATTATAGAAATCAAGTGTCCACAAATGGACAATTAAAGCTCAACTATATGGTTAGATGTTAATAATCAAGTGATAATAGTCAAATGATGGAAGTCTAGTGATGGTGGTGATGTTTGCTAATGATAGTTATCAATAATGATTGTTGGAAAAATCTATAGAGTTATTTAGCTCTAATAACTATCAAATGTCCCTTCTATAGAAAATATAGCCTTATTTAAAGCCTTCTTGTGAGAGAGATTTGGTAAATTTGGCCTAAATCCAATTCATTTTATCGAACAATCCATATTGATCCACTTAATTATATATTACTTATTCAATATTTTAGTGTATTAATGATGTTAGAGTTGAATGATTTTGAGCTTATTGGATTCGTTTCTTTGAGCCACATGATTTAACTATAAACACACAAGATTTGAAGACTCTTTGATGCTTCAATTAATATCTTCAAGTTTTTAAATAAATTTCAAGTGCATGATTAGAGCTCATTTGGAGTCAGATTAGATCATTTATAGTGTCGATGGGTTCGTCTTGTTGATAATTTCAGTTCGACTACAATTTTGTTAAAGTCGAAATTTAGGTGGCCATAAATTTTATTCTGAAAGTTTTCATTTCAAATATTATCTCGAGATTTGTGTTGAACATAAGAATTTTCTAGAAACATATCAACTGACTCCTATTTTTGGATGTTGAAGTTTGTGTCATCCAAAAATATATGTTAAATATGTGAAAAATTTTATAGCTTAAATTTTAATTTAAAAAAAAACTACAGGACATTACCATTTCCTGAATAGCAACATAGACCTTCTCTTGGGGCCATGAACCAAATAAATATCTTTTTAATTATAATTTCATCTTTTCTTGAAATCGGCATATCAATTTGAGCGGAGGTGCTGAAAAGTTTTACTTTAAACTCTTCAAATTGGCTCAAATTTGATCATCGAGCTCTGTTGGACTTTGAAAGTGCTAAAATTGAATACTAAACTTAAAAAAAATAATTCTAAGAACCTCTAAAATGTTGAAAAAGGTTTGTCCAGGCCGATTGGGATAGTTGGGCCAACGATGTCCGTCCTTGTCGGTGTGGGATGCCTGGTGCGACATCTCTTAACGGAGGCACCATATGCGCCTCTTTCTTGTGCACAATTACAAATTTTGTAATTTCCGTTGCTCCCTCTTCAACCATAAATCAGCCTTCTTAGGGGAGAAAATTTGCTCCTCATCTCACTGAGGCTCCAATTCTTTCTTTTGAAAGAGTCTTTTAACTATCTTGTATTGGCGATGCTTAATTCCTCTTTTGTAAGCTCCAACAAAATACTGTCCTGAATAAGAGGTACAATCCCTCATACATGCTTTAGTACTCGTTCAAGAGTAACAATTTGTTCTTCTGAGTTTAAGAAAAATCCAAATCTTTTAATATTTCAGCCATTTCAAATTACAACTAAACTAGATTTTCATGCTCATACAAAGAATATTGAAATTTATCATCAGTTTTAGGGAGTGCATTCTTTCCAAAGAGATTTTTGGCCAATGCACCACTTCTCAACATCAGCTAGCTGATATTTTTATAAAATCTTGAACAACTTGTCTCTTTGAATTTCTTTGTGGCAAGTTGATAATCACTCATTTGACTGTCCACTTGAGGGAGGTGATAACAATTCTACATCTAGTATTCCTTCGACTTGCATAGACCTGCGGCTAGCCTCCTGAGCAAAAGATTTCCCTGCTGATTGATAATTACTGAAAAACCATTGCTGAATGCATCTTCTGTGCTTCCTCTCTGCAATTTCATTATCTTCTGGTTATATGATTCTACCTACTCGAGAACTAGGCGAGCCCAATTAGCCAATCAGATTTTGGTCACAACACTCAAAATGGTTTACGTTATTGCAGGAGTTTCAAGGTTGGAGACTTCATCAAATCTTACACCAGAAGAACTATCCCGGATTCCGATTCATCAATCAATGAAGAAAGTAGTACACTTCAAGTGTCCTCTGCTCCCCTTCTCTTGAAGAACAACCAACTTCCTCCAATGGATACTCCAACAACAAACCTCTCCTCTGATTCCCTCAAACATGTAATGCAGGATATGCTGGAATCAAAAAGCGAGTGCTCCTTCGTGGTTACAGAATCAGGCCAGCTACAGAGTGTGATCACACTTAGAGATATTATGTCCAAGTTCTCTCCTCCATCCATGGATGCCACGATTGATGGAGGCGGCTTCTTCCAGTCAGCTCTAGAGCAATCTGGCTGCCATGTGGAAGATGGAGTAATGGTTCGTGACAAACATTAGCTTTTATGGCAACAGTTCCAGTTTATCTGGCAGAGGATCCAGACCGGTTTAGAATCTGTTGGAAAATGTAAGTTATTTAGGTTTGAACTGAAGATTATAAGCATGCATTGTGTGTAAAAAAGGCAATGAATTTGCATCTCTCCAAGCAATACTGATGTCTTTGCTTAATTTCTAGATTTATCTAAGCAATAGTCATTTCAAGTATTAATCACTTCCGGAAAAGCTTGGAGACCATATTCACATATGCTGAAGTCATAGGAAGTATCCAATAACATGCTCCAAATTCATAGTTGAGGGGTAAACAGGATCATGTAGATATACAGGAAGTGAATTTGCAATTAATTCATAAAAACTTTTGTAAATCCAAATTGCTATTTTAAGTCCCTGTAATTAGTGAATCTGCATGTGTGCGGCAGAGAGCTGGCGGCTAGTCTGTCCCAACTCATTTTGGGCTCAATTTTTGGCTCGGACAAGTCAATTCGGATATTTTTGGGGTTCCGTGACCTTTTTCTGGCTTTTCAGACTCAATTTTGACAATACTAAAGCCAATTGGAATCTCTACGCCCAAGATCGGATTATTTTGAAGTTTGTTTTTTTGGAAAAATTGAGGGCTTAGCCCATTCTATTATAAAACAAGGGGTATACAAAGAAGTGAGAGAAAACATAAATGTATGAAAGGAAATACATAATAACTAGAAAACTAAAGTATGAAAACAAAAGATAACAGGGAATCCCTCAAATAGCATAATTTTTTTTTCTTCAAAAGTTGTTATATATATTGTCGGACTCTGCAAGCTTAGACGTCAAAAAATAGGGGACAATTGATATATCATCAAAAAAGTATCTTGATCGAACACGAATCTATAGGAAAAATTAAGTTGAAAACTTTCGAAATTAAATTTGGGTACATTCGAACTTTGATTTCAGCAAACTTACTATAACGACCCAAGATCCGTGTAGTGAAAGGATTCATCTGATCGATCATTCATTTTCTTTTTCTTTTTTTCTATCGGTTTCCTCGTAACAATCCATACATACATATATCCATAGCCAGAGATAATTACATTACAGAAAAGAAACAGCAGCGGATACTATAATTCACATATAGTACAACAGAGTCTGGCTGCCATGTGGAAGATGGAGTAATGGTTCGTGACAAACATTAGCTTTTATGGCAACATTTCTAGTTTATTTGGCAGAGGATCGAGACCGGCTTAGAATCTGTTGGAAAATGTAAGTTATTTAGACTTGAACTGAAGATTATAAGCATGGATTGTGATGTAAAAAAGGAAAGGAATTTGCATCTCTGCAAGCAATACTCTCTTCATTTCTGATATCTTTGTTTAATTTCTAGATTTACGAAAGCAATAGTCATTTGAAGTATTAATCACTTCCGGAAAAGCTAGGAGACCATATTCAGATATGCAGAAGTCATATGAAGTATCCAATAACATGCTCCAAATTCATAGTTGAGGGGTAAACAGGAATCATGCTGATATACAGGAAGTGAATCTGCAATTAATACAGGAAAATTTTTGTATATACAAATTGCTACTTTTAAGTCCCTGTAATTAGTGATATAAAAGGTAGCTGTCAGTGGACTGCAATTCTGTTTCCATCGAAGTTGTCTAGTGCCTTATAAGATTATTATTATATTCAGAAAAAGAACTTTGTCTGCAGATTATCCATCATCTCGTTAAAATTCATAAAATCTTGATTTTATTGAGAATTGTTGAGGACTGGAATATTCACGGTGATAGAGAAATATAAAGTTTAACATCCTAGCTTAGTATGAAGATTCATTATACAAATAGATAAAAGAGAGGGGTGTGACGTTCATAAGAGACCATAGAATTTTTACATGGAAACTCCTAAAAATGAGGAAAAATCATGGGGCATTGCTCAGTTGAAATGAATTCAACAGTATTTGTAGTTGATTACAAATGAGGTCTTTTCTTAGGGAGAAGGTCTTGGCTTGATGTAGCAAATATACATAATATCGAGTGTATTATATGGTGAGAGTTAGAAGAATCGGTGTTGACATGCTTGTTTGGTCATCAGGACTATAGTTGGGCAGGCATGGGCACCGACGATTAGCGTGGGCAGCAGCTCGGGCAGGCGGCTTTGTACAGGAAGCTGGGTAGCGAAGGCAGGCAAGCGTGGGCAGGTAGGCAGCAATTTACAGGTAGCCGGGCAGGCGCGCGGAAGAGAGTCAGTTGACATTACCAAATTGAGTCCATCCCAACCCATTTTTGGGCCCAATTATCTGCTCGGACAAGCCAATTTGGATATTATTCAGGTCCCCATGATCATTTTTTTACTTTTCGGGCTCAATTTTAACATTTTTAAAGCCAATTAGTATCTCTATGCCTAAGATCAGATTATTTTGGAGTTTCAAATCCAACAAAAAATTTCCCAAAAAGCTGTGATATATATTTTCGGACTCAGCAAACTTTGACATTAAAAAATAGAGGTGTAACTGATATATCATCAAAAAATAATCTTAATCGGGCACGAATCTTGAGGCAAAAAGTTGGAAACTTCCAAAATTAAATTTGGGTCCATCTGAACTCCGATTTCAGCAAGTTTATAGTTGAACTGAATGTCTCGTAAATATGAACCCAAGGATACCAAATTCGACTTAATATGAGTCTAAATGTGTCCAAATTGAAGACCAAAGGTGCATTTAGAAGTTTCAAATCATAAATTGGATGACAAAATGATTTTCAAAAGTGACATGCTTATAGTCGATTCGAGCAACTCGATGAGACGAATCTAACGAGCCCAAGATTGTCAAATTTTGATATCATTAAGTCATTCAAATGCCCAGTAAGCGGTCCACGATCAAAGGGATTAACATCGGCCGTTCATTCAAACCACTCCCAACTTATCCTTGATCTCTATCCTATTTTCTAGTCATGTCATTCTTAGAAAACTATAAATAGATCCCTCATTCTTCATGGTAAGGGGACTCAAACAAGGAAGAGAATGAAGATAGAAAAACTAGAGTTCTCTTGTCACCAAACTCCTCGACCACCGTCAGACTTCCGCCCGGCCTCCGATTGTCGCCGAAATTCCACCCAGCCACCAACTAACGCTGGGCTTCCACCCGGTAACTGACTAGCACTGGACTTCCACCTAGTTACCGACTGATGTTGTACTTCCTCTTGGCCGCTAACTGATGTAGGACTTCCACCCGACCATCAACTGACACCGGACTTCCGCCCGATCATTGACTGACCTCGAACGTTTGCCTGATCACCTACTAACGCCGGACTTCCGCCCAATCACTGAACATCGCTGAATTTCCGTCCGATCTCCGCTCTTTGCTAAATTTCAACTCGACAGTTCATTGTTGTAATATGATTCTCTTTAATAGGACGAATCTATCATTTGTAATCTATTCAAATACTAGTTGAATCACTTTAATTGGACGTGACCCAGTGTTTTTTTCCTTTTCCAAAGTTTTCTACGTAAAAAATCTTGTGTTTTTGAAATTTTCTATTTGTGTGCTGGATATCTGTACAACGCTTAGACGAAAAATTCTAACTATATCACTGCATATATTATAGCCCGCAACAAGAATGATCTAGCCTATGGAGGATTTAAATCAACCAATGACAAAACAATGTGATGACTTTCAAACTCAATAAACAACCTTTTGTTACATATAGTGATCACATTCATTTCTAGCAAGTTGTTTTCCAAAGCTTGTAAACTCAATTCAAAGGAAGTCCTCTTGAAGTGGAAATCGCACAAATAATGCTTAGAAACTCTAAATAAAATAGTCTTCAGTTAATATCCATGATCCTCACTTCAAGCAGTAAAAAATGTTATATAAAAATGTGCAAAAAAATCCAAAACTATATGGGGTTGGATTGGCAAAAGTATGAGAATGGGATGATATTGAAGTTTTATAAAATTAGAAGAGGCTTTATATGTTTCCAAGTTCATTTATGAAGGTTTCAAGGTCAAAGTTACAAAGTAGAGCGAGTATTCGAGGCAAGTAGGTAATATGATTTAATTCCAAAGCATCATATAGCTTGTGACATTGACAAAAAAGAAAGAAAAGATGGGAAAGAGTGACTCAATACGTAGAGAATGGTGATGTGACATGCCAAAAAGTGTTATGCTAAGTTTACTTATAATGTAGAAGTGAACATATATTTTGTTGGTCAAATAACATAGAAAGGTGATCAAAATATATAAACAACACAACGTGTGACATGTTGCATCACCTTAGACCATTTCAAATTGAATGCTAAACCAACATTTGTTGTCCGTGAGCTGCTCCAACATAACACGAAAACCTGCGCCATTATCATTATGTGAATAGTACGTGTGATATCTAGTTGGTGTCACAGTGTTGACAAATGTCATTTTTCGGTTGGAAAAAGAATGTACATAGAATACTCATTTTTTATGTTATGAAATGAAATTTGATTTGAAGTTTTACTATATTTTGAAGTCGAAAATGAATTTTTCGGTTGTAGATACTCTTAATATGGCTCAACAATACATGAACATAATTAGACATCAAGACTCATTAAAAGAAACCAATATTATATTAATACATTAAAAGGCACACATAGATAATTACAATCATAATACATTTGATGTAAATATCTAAGTTCTCAACTCATAAAAAACTTCAAAATGCCTCTTACATCATTAGCATTGCCTTCAATGCACGTCATTTAATATTCTTAAAGATTTATTTTGATCTTTGAATTATTAGCAAAATATTATCCTTCTAGAAACTGATTCAATGGGGGACCCAACTCCCGATCCTCCCAATATCCCCATTAGTCAGAAAAGCATCCTGGCAACATCAAGGTAAGGGCCCACTTGTCTGCTCAGAGAATATCAATCAATATTATAATTAGAATAAAAAATATACTCCAAATTTTGGTTTAATTTGAGATAATTTTCTTATTACTTTTTTAAGTATAAAAGTTTTATTCTAAAAGATAGTTTTACGAAGCAGTAAGAAAGTCATCCCAAACGAATCCTTAAATCTGAATTTCACACAGCTCTCTGCCGCTCAATCTGAATGGTTGTCGTCGCCGTTATCATCATAACACAGTGCAAAGCCTTTGCCACCTTAGATCCATCTTTCAACTTATTGGCATTATCAATCATTGCTTCCCTCAAGTCAAGGGTAGATC